CCTTAGCATAGTCATCTATATTATAAAGTGCTTCTACACTATCTATGCTATTAAAGTGTTTCGGTAAATTACTTGTTTTACCGAATACTAACTCATATGGACAATAAGTATGTGCCATAGAGGGGGTCGTATTGAAACAAAATACAAAATATTGAAGCCATACGTCCCAATCAATATGTCAACCCATTTTGTAAGAGTGTATATACTCATTAAAGGTTCTATGACTTCTTTCTATTGTTCCTACTGTCTGGTGGTGGTGTGCTGTAGATGTAATGTTTTTAATATTCAAATATTTGCACAAATCAATTATAGAGAATTTTTATACTCTGTTCCCATGTCCGTAATGAACGTCTTCATTGGACCGTACTTCAGGATAAAAGATTCAAATATGGCTTAAGCGACAGTATTAGCATTTTTATTTGGAATTGGTATTGCAACTAAATACTTAGATAGATCACATACTCGTTACCATTTTCTGATTTTGGTAGTGGTCCGATGGTATCCACTATCACTCTGTTGAAAGCATTTATTCGTGTGTCAGTAAAGTAAAGGAGTCTTTGTATGCTTAGTTATTTTTACTTTTTGGCATTTTGGACATTTTCTTATGTATGTACTCTTTTATGTCTTTGGACATATTTTTCCAGTAGTAGTGTCTCTGGACCTTGACCAAGGTTTTTGTAATGCCTGTGTGACCTCCTTGAATTTGATCATCATGGAATGTAGACAAAATTGCTTCTTTTTCTTTATCATTTGATACTAGGGTCACCGGGTTGAGTAGCGCTACTCTTAATGTTTTCAGTATTTTATTGCCCATTAATTTAAAATTATCTATTCATATTTTATCAAAGATATTTTTCCACGGTGCCACTTTGAGTTGGCTGATTTTATTTATACCGGCATGCATTTCAAGCCTTTGGAAAAATTGACCTAAGTCGATAACTCCATTAGTATATAAATCGCTAACTTCATATCTTGCAATAATTTTCTTGCCATGTTTAAATAAACATAACGTATCATTTATATGCAAGGTCACTACTTTACGTACTTCATCATTGTTTATGACGTCGTATACGTTGGGCTTAGAAGCTTTATTTAGAGATTGCATATGCAATTCTTTTTCTTTTTCAAAGCAAAGAAAGAGAAAAAAGGACAGTTGGAATTACTTTTCCTAGGCCCGATTTGACCAATGCGCCTTCAACGTCTTCCAATTCCGTCCCAAAAAAATAACAAACTTCCTTGGTATCTCCTATCAGAATGCTACGCAGTAAGCTTCCTAAATTGTACTCTAATAGTGTCACATTTGCTTCCCAAGTGTTGTGTTTACAGAAACCTGGTTAAAGCCGGAGATTCTGAGCTCCGAAGTTTTTCAAGCTGTGTTCACAGTATACCGGCTAGATCGGACTATCAGACATGTTCCTACATTCCTCCATTTTTGGAACTTCCTATTTATTGAAACCATATTTCCGCTATTCAGTTGGTCTCTAAAAGAATTTCGGATAGGGACCACTTAATTAGTAGTTCTTGGTGATTTTAACATCCCAAGGGCTATTTGGTCCTTAGATAATTCCATTAAACACAAAACATCACAAAAAAAGTGGTTTACCAACGAGCACTTTAATTAAACGGATAATTTGCCGAAGGTGGCGTAACGGAGTTCGCCTGGCTTACTAGTATATATATAAAAATGGAGACAAAAAACTTTACTAATCGCATCACAAGAGAACGGCTGGGCCGATTTGGTTCACATTTTTAATTGCCAGAAGAAGGTTATTACATAAGAACATTTTAGGAAAACCTTCCGGAAAAGTCGTTAGCGGCTCAACAGATGTACACACTGTTGTATGTAAAATTCTAAAACACCCTACAAAGATCATAGCTGCTTTGAAATTGTGTATCAATGAAATCGGTAAAAAAATATTTAAATAAAAAAATCGAGTTAACGAAGCATTACCAAAGTGAGCTTAAACAATTCGCATTCGACCTTCATCGAGTGCAGACGTGCCTACGGACAACCGCTACGCGGGGTTCATTCTTGTAGTGTTTTTCATGGTAAAAAAGTAAATTCGGAACTCTAAACTACGTACTGTCAGATAGCCCTACAGTGCGTATGACATACGGACACTAGTGCGTGAGACGTGTTTTTGAGCTGCAAAGTTAATTTATATGGTGCCACGCGTAACAAGCTCAAAATAATGAGCGGCTATCAAAAAAATAAGCATAGAACCTCTGTAAACCAAAGAAACGCTTGTTTCTCTTATATCTCAACTGGCGATATCGAAGCAGAAAAAACGTCTACCAAGCCCAACCCGGATCTACTGACCGCCGACGGCACGAGAGCGCGCTCCTGCTCTCCCGCCCTACTCATTCCAGCTCCTACATGTTGGAGCTCCCACTGCCAAACCCCACCACCACCGGCTTCGATGGAAGACGCACCAACAACAAGCAGAGCTGAAATTTCTGCAAACGCAGCAAAAGCAACAAAAACAACTAAACCCACGACCAATATTGCAAAATCGGTGCCAATGGCCGCAGCGCCAAGTTCTTTGGTAACAAAAACCGTGAGCTCCGATAAGCAACAAGCGGTTCCAGCCATACAGACTGGCATGGATCGCTACATCCAAATTAAGCGTAAGCTCAGCCCACATAACACGGTTGGTAAAAAACCTAAGATCAACCGTGTCACCAAAAGCTACGACCCAACCAACTCCAACAAATTTTCCCCGCTAGCAGCTGATGAGAATAACCCAGCAGAGCCGGAGCAGGAGACTCAAAAACAGTCAAAGCCCCCACCTATATATAAAAGGGAGAAAAGTTCAAACGCCCTGGTCAACAAAATTGTTGCGGTAGTCGGGGACGGAAATTTTCATGTTGTTGCGATTATTAAAGGGAACATTTGCGAAACCAAAGTTCAAACCAAAACAGAAGAACGCTTTCGAGCTGTGTCTAATTACCTGCAGGAAGCAAAAAAGAGCTTTTACACCTACCAACTAAAAAGCAGCAAGGGACTGCAAGTAGTGCTGAAAGGAATTGAACCAGAAGTCGCCCCCTCTGAGATACTAGAAGCCCTGTAAGGCAAGGGTTTCTTTGCCAAGAATGTTAGCAACATTATCAACAAAAACAAAAAGCCGCAACCTCTTTTCAAAGTCGATCTTGAGCCAGACAGTAAAGCCCTGAAGAAGAATGAAGTTCACCCGATCTACAAGTTGCAGTTCCTACTGCATCGAAGAATCACCGTGAAAGAACCGCACAAACGCAACGGTCCTGTGCAATGCACAAATTGGTCATACAAGGACATACTGCACCCTTCGGTCAGTCTGCGTAGTCTGTGGAGACTTCCACAACTCCGCACACAGCCCTGCGAACAAAGAAGACCGCAACACGAAAAAACGTGGAAACTGTGGAGGAAACCATTCAGCTTATTACAGAGGCTGTGTGGTCTACAAAGAGCTGAAGAGTCGCATGCGAAGAGCGACAGCTACACGCCAACAAAATACACAATATGTATTATAATTCAAAAACTACTCCAGATGTATTTTTTGCCAAAGCAGCCAGATCTTCTTTTGGTCCGCTAAATGCCCCCACGGGCATCTCCTACGCCGCACAGTAGCGCCTCTCGAACAAAAGCCGTTGCAAAAATCGAAAAGGTCGTTGTCGCAAAAACGATTTTAACCATACTTATTCGACAGGAAATTTCCCATGGATTCAGAATCTGCTGTAAAATCAATTTTCGGATTTTTTTGTAGAAGATATGAGCATTCAAAGTTGAACTTTGTTTCCTTTTTTGCATCATAAGGAAAAAAAGGACAAATTTGTTGACTTTCAGGTAGTATTACACAAAAACTATTTTAATTTAAATAATAGACACATTCATAATCTGTAACCCAATCCAAAAAAAAGGGGAATTGGGTTAGGGCTTCCACAGGTAAATCGCTACCTGCCAGGTGTCCATTTTTTTCACTTTTTTTCTGGCTAAAGTAGTCTATATCTTTTTTGGATGGGCTGAGCCACTATACACACTATAACTACGACCTTTGTGGATCTATTCTGGACCAAAATCAACTTACATCTGCTGCGTCGAGCTGCGTCCCCGGAAATGCAACAGCAAAAACCAAAACAACTCAGGGTTAAATATACCAAAATACCGACTCAGCTTCATACTAACCAAAAAATATACTAACTGTAGCGCGTGGCGGTTACACGTTGAAATAAAAAAAAAATTTTTTTCAGTTTTCAATTTTTTTTTTATCTGAGCAAATACATAAAAATTAAGATAAAAAATTAAATAAAAAATATTTTTAAAAAATTGTCTTCATTGAGAAAAAAATATTTCTTTACTTTGATACCCTTTAAAAAGGCGAATGAGTGGGCGTGGCAGATTTTCCAATACATATGTCAATTTTACAACAATTACCTATCAAATGGCGTTTAAATTATTTAGTTATCTTATTTTGTTCAAAAGTTATGATTTTTGCAACGTAAAATGAGAAAAGGCGCTACTGTGCGACGGCTCCAAGATGAAAGGAGGAGTTGGAGCGGGCATATACTGTTCTGACCCTGAAATGAGGCTGTCGTATGAGCTACCAAGCTACTGCAGTATATTCCAGGCGGAAGTATTCGCCATCAGGAAAGCAGCAGAGCTTGCGCAGACCATAAACCGTCCACATGAGGCTGTCAGTTTGTTCGTAGACAGTCAAGCGGCGATAAGATCCATGCAATCATCAGCGGTAAGTTCCAAAAATGTACTGGCAAGCAGGCAGTCACTAGATGGCCTAAGCACGACTAAGTCAGTGAGGATCTACTGGGTTCCCAGCCACCAAGGCATAGACGGTAACGAAACCGCGGACGAACTTGCAAAGGAAGGCGTTGGACTGGCGAGTGAAAGAACAGAAAACGTCCCTATCTCCCTAAGAACGCTCCAAAGCGAGCTAGAGAGACGGGCTGACGCAAGCGCAAAAAGCAGGTGGAGGAGTAATTCCACAACCTGCAGAATATGAAAAATCATGTGCAAAGAGCACAACGAGAAACTAACTCACTACGTGCGGCATCTTCCGCGCAAGGACTACAGAATGTTAGTGGGTATTCTTACAGGTCACTGCCTGTCTGCTGCACATGCAGTCAAGCTGGGGATTACCGACAACGCCAAATGCCGGAAATGTGATGAATCCGAGGCAACCGAAGCCTTGGAGCATCTCATTTGCAAATGTCCGGCCCTAACGAGGGCAAGAATGAAAGACCTAGCCTCTCCATTTCTTACATCGCTAGAAGATGCCTCCAGGAGGGAGCCAATCGAACTCCTTGCCTTTGCGAAAAACACCTTGATATTCAAGGATCTCGAAACGCGCATAAATAGTCTCTATGTCCATCCAGGAGTTTCCCCGGATAGCTATGGGCCATATTGGCCTATGTGTAGCCCCTCGAGGGCCGTCCGGTCTAACCTAACCTAACCTAAATTCTTTTTAGAAAATCATTGATGGGGTAAGCAGCTTGCAGAGCTTTTCTTCTCAATTATGTAACTTTTGCAACGAATATCGAGACATCCGTTATGCAGAAAGAAAGTTTTAGATTTTTGAAACCGTCTCATGGGTCAACACCCTTAAATAAAGCTACACGGTCTTCTCTTAAACGTACTTAACTTACATTAGGGCTATAATGCTACTAAAATACCAATCCTAAATACGTCTGTCATTATTCATTTGTCATTACTATTACTAAATTATTAACATTATTCTAATTTCAGATCAAATATCTTTAAAAACTAGTCAGGTAAATGATCTCACAGAAAAGCTGCATGAAAAACAGCGTGAAGTGCATAGTTTCAAAAAGCAATTGGAATCTGTACATTCTGAAAAAATGATGTTGCAACGTAACTTAGAGAATACAACACAGGAGAGAGATAATTTTCGAATTTTACAAGCCGTAAGTGTTCCAATTTTTTAATTTTCGAACATATTTTCTAGCACACAACTCTTCTATTAGAAATCGGGATACCAAATCCAGCAGCTTACCACGGAAATAAGCACAAATGAAGTAAAAATAAATTCATTGAATTTAAAAATCGAACATCTTAATAATTACATTAAGGAACTTCAATCTGAACTTAAAAACAAGGAAAACTTGGTTGCTGGGCTGCGTAAAGATATGCGAGAAATGAAATCAAAAAATGAAATGTTAGCAAAGGCAATTTCAAATGATGAGCTTAAATTTATGAAGATGCGTCATGAGTTAGAGGAAATGAGAAAGGAACGTAATTTGGTTGGATTGCAAATAGTGCGCAGAAACGATGAAATTGTTGTTATTAAAGAAAAACTTCAAATTGCCCAAAATGCACTCGATAACGGAACAACACAATACAATCAGCGTGTAGAAGACATACGATTATTAAAGAAAGAGATATCTAACCTACACACTGAAAGTGAATGTCTTAAGCACGCTATTAAAAGCACTGCTGATATGAGAAAAGAAATTGTGCGCTTGCAACGCGCTCTTAATCAAGAGCGCATACGAATACGAGCTCTTACGGAAGATGCGAAAACACCTACTGGAGTGCATCGATGGCGTATATTAAAGGGCGAAGATCCTAAAAAGTTTGAGTTACTCGAAAAATTACAAATTCTTCAAAAGTAAGTTAAAACCCGGACTGTAGTGTTTGTTAATAATACTTTTATTAACAGGCGAGCATTAAAGCAGTCGATTGAAAATTCAAACATAAAAAATAAATTGGCAGAAGCACAAAAAAATAATGAGACCCTGAAGCGAACGTTATCGCATATGCCAACATGGGAGATAAAACATAAATTAGTTGTACAACAGGTAATGTTGCAGTTATTGCAGTTATTGCGCGAACTTTAAAATTTAGTATTTTTAGTAATTTACTGATTTTGGGGTCAAAAGCTATATATCACAAACGGTTATATAATACAATACAATACAAAATCACCAAAAATTGTTTTTGGAAGAACAAAATTATATGTATAAAAGTTATCAGTGCAGGGAAAATAATCTGATGCAATTTTTCACCGTCGCCGCATATACAACGAGCTTTAGAGCGTTGACTTCCCAACTTTTTCTTACTCCCGCACACTGTACAGAGCGCTGAGGTGATGACTACCCAACTCTTCCTTTTCTTCGCACCCCTGTAGCATATCACCTAGGATAGGTACAGCTAGGACGATTGATGTTGGGCGGTATCTACTGCGGGTGCACGTGAGGTGTCCGGCTCTAGCTTGGTCGGTATATGGGAGTGGGAAGTCCACAGAGCTACCTATATCGTCAGGCTATAATAAACTAATCCTTAATTTTGCGTGCTATATGACGGGTTATGGGACGGACATAACAAAAAGAAGGACTACGACAATGAACTCGGCTGACTCTCAAAAACACAAACATCGCAAGCGCGGCAGCAAGATGACAATAGCTGCCTGTTACGCCCACCCTTCCTTGATTCCTCGCCTCCTGGCGACATTATTATCAGGGATCCCTAAAGTAACGGCTGCGATTAATTAGTCATTTCCTGTGGTTCGGGGTCCCTGCATGATCCCAATACGAAAGGCTTAGCAATTCATGATTTTTCTTAATTTATTTTTACAAATTTTCATTCATCGAGATATACCATCCCAATACTAATTCATCAAATTTTTTCTTTACTTCCAAATTAATTATTATTTTTGGCCTTATAAATTTTCATAGCTCTTTTTATTTAATTTACTGTGTATGCAAGAACAGATCGGCGAATGAAAAGGAAGAGAGAAGAGAGAAGCTGGAGTTTGCGGTACTTTTTCACATTTTGTTTTAAACTTTTTCTCACATTTTTACAAAATTCTTTCTCTTTGCTTGTTCACAAATAAAATTAAAATAAAGAAAAAAAACTACATACACTAAACTTCCGAAAACCCAATATTAATTTGGAATTACGGCTGGCTTTGATTTAGCAATTCACGAGAAGAGAAGGGGTTAGAACCGGACGGCAAATCGCTGATGCCGGCAGCTTGGCCTCCTTAAAGGGCTTTTTCCCTCAGATTTTTCACTGTTTCCTCCACTGGCGAAACTTGCGCCGCTTTCTCCCGGATGGGCCGCACGTCTGCCACTTTCACGAGCGTTTTTTCCGACGCTTTTCCCCGGAATTTGGGCGGTTCTCCTCGCTTCGCCCGCCGCGATTACGCTCGCGCGTCCGTTTGCTCCGGCAAAATTACAAGCACTGCCATCCAGCTGGCACAGGGTGCGTACTGCACAAAAAAAAATATCGCCGAGAGAGACGGGACTTCGCTTTGGTTGTTTGGCGGCGAGAGAGGGGGGTTGGCTGATGACGTCGATCCCGGCTGGCAATCACAGCAGCTCCAAGTGACAATTTGGCTGGAGCTACGATCCACAAATTAACATAGGCTTCTTTAGGTATAAATCGCGATCGACGACACTCACCCCTGTATCCCACAGATAGTTGATATTTAGCAAGCAAAGTTTGAGCGTAGAGAAAAGAACACTTTAACTTGAATATTTTTCTTGTGTTGAAATATATTTTATAGACTTGTCCTGGCACAGACTCCAACTGCTCGCTTCGATGCTCCGAATGGAAAAGAACTAGCGCTCGCCAGCAAGCCCGCCGAATCCCTTGCCGCTATGACTTTGTCAGCGGACTCCATTTTTAAGCGAATCCGAGAGCGACTAGCTATTTTTAATATATGCTCTTACCACTATATGACCTTGCCACGACCTCTAAGAATAACTCTCTTTCCTTTCTATTTGTATAAGATCGCAAATAGGGCCACTATTGCCTACTTTTGGGCCATCCCCATTAAGTTGCCTTGTAGCCAACCTTGGTTACTACACCCCGCACCCCGCAGAGTGGGCGATTTGGCTTTTCTAGCTGTAGATTATTAGGAATATATTAAACTGTTACTATTATTAGAACTTTTATTTTCTATGCATAGTCAAATTTAAACTTTTCAAGCAAAGAAACGATCAGGCAAAATGAAGTATCGATACTCCGTTTCGAATAGTGACACAAAAATCCCCGAAGCGAATTATGGCAAGCTGCGGTCACTCTTGATCAGTGTGGAAATACGCTTCTCTTTTCTCTGCAATGTGAAATTTAGTCCGGTGGGATCGAGACAAAAAACACTTATTTTTCAAAGTGATAACTTCCATTGATTGGTTTAAGCTTTTGAGTGCGTTGTATCGCCTGTGTTTAATAAATTAATTGTCGAAAATAGTGTTTGGTGGCCGTCCCACGTTGCACTATGGTCCAGCCCACCGCTTTTTTGGCCAAAATTTATAACCCCGTCAATTTAAGAGTTATTAACTTAATTTCCGATTTCATAACATTTTACATTTTACAGTTACAGTTTTATAGATATAGTCGTCCGATTTTCATAAAAATTTGACTCAAATTCTGGAATAATCAGGCCTGCTCCGGTAATCGAAAACGGCAAGATTTTTTCGTTTTCGTTTTTGAAAACAAGAAATTGGTGCTCCGGTAATCGAAAACGAAAAATTTTTTCGGGCACCTTTTTCTGGCCGGAATGAAAAGTAAATGGCTTTTTTTATATGAAATCAGATCTTATTTACAAAAGGAAAAAAATAGTTTACTCGGTGGTCTATTGATGTTTATTCCACACCACCACAGGATCATTCTGGCAGGTAGTAATTTTATAAAAATTTTTTTTAAATTTAAATAATTATTTGAGACCACCGGAATTAAAACTGTGAAAAGTGTGGCAGCATCTTAGATGCCTAGATTTTCTCAACTCTAGCATTTTTAGCCTTTTTCTGGCAATTGTAAAATTTTTTTTTTTTTTTTTTTTGTTTGTTTTTATACCCTTGCAGGGTATTATAATTTCAGTCAGAAGTTTGCAACGCAGTGAAGGAGACGTTTCCGACCCTATAAAGTATATATATTCTTGATCAGCATCAACAGCCGAGTCGATCTAGCCATGTCCGTCTGTCCGTCTGTCCGTCTGTCCGTCTGTCTGTCTGTCTGTTTCGACGCAAACTAGTCCCTCAGTTTTAAAGCTATCTGAATGAAACTTTGCATATAGTCTTCTATATACTCTCACTGCTATATATGTCGGAACGGGCCGGATCGGACGACTATATCATATAGCTGCCATACAAATGTACGATACATTTCTAGAAAAAATTTACAACTTTGCTGTTTTTCAAAATTTTTGCTCCATTTTATATTATTTCTGAATTTTGGTAAAAAATTTATGCAAATCGGCCGACTACATCATAAAGCTGCCATAGGAACGATCGAGAAATAAATAGGAAAAAAATTATAGCTTCGTTGTTTTTCATCGTATGTTTATCTACTCTGAGATATAAGCTTTTTTTATTATTCTAGAATTTTGGTATAAATTTCATAAAAATCGGACAACTATATCATACAGCTGCCATATAAACGATCTGTAAATGTAGAGAAAATGTAAAGCTGGGAATGTAAAACTGTAACTGTCAAACTGTAAACATAATAAGTATAGGTAAAATGTAATGAAACTCTGTTTTTGTAAGTGTTTTCAGCATTTAAATCTATAATATAAACATAAAAACCAATCTGCAAGGGTATACAAACTTCGGCGTGCCGAAGTTAGCTTCCTTTCTTGTTATTTATTGAATCTTCTCATTTATGAGACTAACAATAAGTGTATCAAATCTTACAATACTGCCTAACTAGCAGTCATGAAACTGGTACAGGGTAAATGGCCCTGACTAATTATGGCTGGGTTGGGTGGTCGTTACGTAGTAGACGGCTTCTTCTGGAAACTCGTATCAAGTCTCTTGCTAGAGGATTTGGATGGGCGGAGAGTTTTTCCTTGTATGACGCAAAAAGTTTTTCTATTTTGTTCTTAACTGCAGGAATGCCGAGATCCCTGTCGATGTGTTCGTTGCGAATATACCATTGTGTCCCAGTGATAGTTCTCAGGATTTTTGATTGGGCGCGCTGTATGATGTCTAGATTGGTGCTGCACGCGTTCCCCCAGAGCTGGGAGCCATATGTCCATATTGGCTTCAGTGTGGAGTTGTAGAGCAGGACCTTGTAGTCCAGACACAGGGGCGATCGGGGAGTTTATGAGCCAGTGGAGGCTGCTGGCTTTTAGTTTTAGATGAAGTTTCTTGCATTCAATATGCCTTCGCCATGTTAGGCGTCTGTCCAGGTGGACGCCCAGGTACGTTACCACGTTGACTTCGGGGATCAGTGTGCTGTTCAGGTAGAGCGGGGGCATGTTTGTCTGTTGAGAGTGAACGTTATGTGCTTACACTTTTGTTCATTTATTTTGATACGCCAGTCAGATAGCCACTTCTCGACTACCTTGAGGTGGTTGGCGAGCTGGGCTGTTGCACGGACTGGGCATCTGGAACGGCTGAGGATCGCAGTGTCGTCAGCGAAAGTGGATAGTGTTAGCTGGTCGCTTGTGGGGATATCTGCTGTATGTAGGACAAATAGGGTAGGCCCAAGTGCGCTTCCTTGTGGGACTCCAGCTTCGATTGAATAGGTGCCGGATGTTGTTGCGTTGCACCTCACTGCCAAGACTCTGTTGTAGAGATACGACTCAAGTAATTTGTGTGTGTATACCAGCAAAAGTGTTTTTATTTTGTGCATGAGGCCGTTGAGCCAGACGCGGTCGAATGCTTGAGAAACATCTAGAAATATTGCGCTGCAATATTCTCTATGCTCGAAGGCTGTGCGAATTTCTGATGTTATTCTGTTAACTTGCTCGATAGTTCCATGTTTTTCTCTGAAGCCAAATTGATGAGCTGGGATAATGTTGTGAGCTCCCAGATAAGGAATTATGCGCTTTAGTAGGCATTTTTCAAATAACTTGGACAAGCATGATAGTAGACTTATTGGTCGGTAGGATGATGGAATCGTGTGGTCTTTTCCGGGCTTCGGTATCATTATAATTATAGATTTTTTTCCATTTAGTTGGGTAATGGCCGAGACTTATGATCCCATTGAAGATTTTACAGATGACCTCAATAGCACAGTTCGGAAGTTCAATTATTATTTTTTGAGTTATTAGGTCGTCGCCGGGAGCCTTTTTCGGCTTCAGTTCCCTGATGACCTTCGTGATCTCGTTCGGACGAAATGATGCTGGAGTAGATACCGTTTCAGTTTGGTTTTGCGGTAGTGCAAATGGATGTGCAG